CACGGCGGGCGGGTGGAGGCCGTCGGGGAGCAGCGGCTGGAGGTCGATGAGCAGCGTGATGGGGATGTGCGAGAGGAAATAGAGCGCGAACAGCCGCTCCCGCCAGCGCGGAGCCGCCGCCATCGCTGCGCGCCACGCTGCGCACACGGACACGCCCACCGCGACGGGGGGCACGCCCACGACTCCGGGACACGCCCATCGCCCCACGGAGCCACGCCCATCGGGGCCACGCCCACCACCCCAGGACACGCCCATCGCCCCTCGGGGCCACGCCCACCGCCCCACGGGGCCACGCCCATCGGCCCCCGGGCCACGCCCACCAGCCCGGAGCGGCTGCGGGGCCCACGGCAGCGGGAAGAGGAGGAGGAGGAAGGGGAGGAAGAGGAGGAGGAGCAGGGTCAGGGCCGGGCTCAGAGCAGCCCCAGTGCCCCGCCCGGCCCCCCCCGCGCCGCGCTCCCCACTCCCCCCCCCGGTTTTCCAGAGTTTTTACCGGTTTCAGCCCCATTTCGGGCCAAGGGCGGGAGGCGGGACGCGGCGACAAGTGGCCGCCTCCTGCAGAACCCGCACAGAGCGCGGCGCTGGGAGGGGGATTTAAAGGTGTCTTTTCCTCTTAATTCCCACCCAGGATGGAGCTGGGGAGCAAGGTCCCACACAACACAGCACCGTCCGGCGGGTCCGTGCGCTCGGGCTGCGGGAAACACCGGCTGAGCTGGAAAAAACGACAGAACTCTGCAAAGTACCTCAAATCCACCCCCCCTGGATCTCCTGCAGCCTCCCCGCAAAGTGCAACTCAACTGCTGCTTTTGATTTAATCGGCGAGTTTTGCCTTTATCCAGGATCAAGCTTAAAAAGTAAATAATACTTGGTTTAAGAATTCACATAAATGCACATATATATGTGTGTGTGTGTAAAAATCAAAGCCATGCCCAAACCAAGATGTCAGAAACTCTTTTTACTGCTGTTCTTTCAGACAGCACTCAATGGAGATGGTAACGACTCATCTGAGCTCAGGGGGGAGACCAGACCCGAAATAAAGATAACGCCACTTCTGTTTCAAATGTCACATTTAATGTTTTCACCACTGTACTTCAAATCTACATTTTACAAAGTGACCAGCAAGTGTGCCACATTAACTGACCAACCTCTGAGATTTTACCTTTCATACCAGTGTCTTCTCGGGCTCGTTTAACTAAACACGTTTCTCATTCAAGTGAATTGAAATGCTTCAGTTGGTTTTATTCTCAGGAGCCTCATAAAAAACAAAGATATTGCACCATCTTTGTTCAGTTATTCAATGTTTGTCTCTTTCACAGCAAATAATTACTTCATTGAAGTTAAAACTTCCAAACATAACTTACTAATAGTCTCCAATTTCAGCTCAGATCACTCTTGTTGAAAATACTCTGCTAAATACAGATAACTTACAATAACTTTAACAGTTAATTGTCCATAACAAACACCACGGGTTTTTTTGTTTTTCTCCAGACCAATGCTCAAATTTTAAGACCACCCTTTAGTATTTCTTTGTACAGGTGAAAAACAGTCTTCAATTTTCTAGTCTTGTTTTAAATACAAAAGTTGGAAGGGACATTCAAGTTTCAAGTCTCCACACTGAACTTAAAAAAAAAAAAAAATCATGTGGAGGTAAACAAACCAAGTTGTACACTCCAGGAGGTAGAGGCCTTCAATTTGTGTTCATATATACATATGCACAGAATTCAGTGTTCCAACAGAAAAAGAATTAGCCAAAAAGTAATAAAAGTTATTTACTACTGTGACATTTCAAGACTTCCACAGCTTCGCCTAAAGACACGAACACAATTAACAGAATTCCCTATGTGCTTTTTTTTTTCTTTTCTTTTTTTTTTTTTTTTTTTTTTTTCTCTCAACTGTCCAGTGCAGGAAAAAGTTCTCACAAAATTTCACAGACCTAAAATGTGCAAGCTAGTTCCTCTCTATACAGCAATGATGTCAGGGATCTCTGAAATTAGCCCATAAATGGAATTATTTACACACATAGAAGATGCATGCTGGGGGGTTTTATGTAAGAAAGAGCAGAAAAACTTCTAATAAAAATAGATTAAATATATATATATATTTATACTGGGTAAGGAAACAGAAGTTTAGTCTCTCCTAGTCACAAACTCATTCTCTCTACTCACAACATCTGATTTGAGAACAGCACACATCACCACCACAGCTCTAGTGAGAAGCTATTTATAGGGTTCCACCATCAGGGGACGTGGCCACTTCCCGTGGGCCCCGTCGGCTGATGTGACTTCAGGATTGGTCGCACTCAAGTTTTCTGTATTCCTTTAGCTTTAGAAAACCCAAAATCTTCAGGAATGGCTCAATATCAAAATGTACGTCTGTCTGTTTGTACAATCTCACTTCAATAAAAAAAAAAAAAAAGAAAAAAGAAAAAAAGAAAAAAACCTCCCCAAATTTGGTTCAATTCTGTTTGTTCTGAGCTGAGCCATCACAGCTGCACTAGAATTCATAAAACACGTGCAACTCTGGGTAAAATATTTTCTTCTAAAAGCACAACCACTTTACAAGATTAAAAGTCTAGTACATTTCTAAATATTATTCATATTGTACAAGTAGTGGTTGTTAATTTAAAACTTCATTAGTAAAATTACAGTACAAGCATGATTAACCTCCAGAATTGCAAATCCCAGACTCCAGTGGAAAGCTACATTTCATCTCAGTAGTACGGTTCCTCCACTTCACTCCCAGACCAGAGGCGACGGCGGCATCTCGGAGGGTTGGGCGACCGTGGAACTAGGAGGCAGGAGACAAAATCAGTGTTCATTTGCAAAAGCCAACAGGCAAGAACCTTAATGCTCGACCAGAAAGCAAACATTGCCAGGAAAACAAAAAACCCCACCGAAACCCAACCCAAACACCCCGAGACCAACAGCCGACAGCAAACATCGCACTGGATCTTTTACAGACATTTACACTACTTATTTTCTTAACAATTCTTCATCAGTCATTCATTTTAATGTTTTTATGGTGCAGTTCTACAACCAGAATTCAACTTCTCAACCTTCTGATTCTAATTTTCACTGACTTCTGTACTTTTACGCAAAAATATTACTTGAAACTTTTGCACATTTTACTTAAATTCTAGAAGAATTCATAACAGTATTTTTAAAATGTGACCACACCTTAATAGATATTACCTATAATAGATATTACCTATAATATCTTAAGGTATTTTTTTGCAGGAGTTACCTATAGGCCTTTCCTACTCTCAGACACTTAAAACATAAAAGCATTCTGGCTGTGTGCATCGTGTACTATGAGTAAATGGGAATTAGTATCAGATGTGATTACATACAGTTACCTAATAAAGCTCTTAAAAGCAGCAGACTGAGGGTTGATGCAGAGAGGCACTCGGTTTCCTTTCTGCTGTTCCAAAATGAACTGATGAATTATTTCTGTGCACGGGAGAAAAAGAAAACCCACCGCAGCGTTAACTCCTGTTGCTTCACAAAGAGCACTGGAGGAAAAGGCAGCTTCCTCTGCTGAAGGGACATTTCTGTAGGACAAAAGGGCTCCAGCTCCCCCAAACCTCACCTGGGGCCACCCCTCAGAGCACAAACTCCCCAGAACAATTCCCTGCCCGCTGAAACGAGTGTGTCTAAACTAATCCCCTGATCCCCACTGAAATACTGAACTGCTGATAACCAGCTACAGATTAAATCCCAATTTTAGGGTATAACTTTTTGAAAAGCAAAGAATTCTCAGCTTGACCTCGATTTGCCAGTCCCCAGAACACGGTTCTGTGGGTCCCATCTGATCCAGGGACGGGGTCACCAGGACCAAGCCCAGAGCTGCTGGGGGGGGGGGATCACAGCAGGGAAGGACAGGACTGGGGGGAAACACAGCAGCAAAGGGTCCCCAGGACTCACCTTTCACCTGCCGAACGGAACTGAGGTTCTTCTCAAAAGTGTCGTCAAATTTGGGATTAGTGATGGGTTCAAAATCACTGGTATAAACTCTTCCAGTAGACGTGGAAAAACAACATTTACACATACAGGTGTGGTATCGCAACCGCCCCTCGTCCAGGTAGGGGTGAGCTAAGGCATCCTTAGCAGATATTCTTTTGGACTGGGTATTGCATTTAAAGAAAAGAAAAGAAATTAAAAAAAAAAAAGAAGAGTTAGGATATTTTCAGAGGTACTGAAATAGCGTAAAGAATACTTGCTCCTCTGTTAATTCTGAATTGTTTTATCAGCACCTCATCACGTTCAGGAGGAGTTCAGGGCAGTCTGAGACCCGCAGAGGCTGCCACTAGGGGGAAGGTTTGGCTTAAAAACCAGCCGGGCTGCCAGGGCCCTCCCTGCTGCACCTGCTGCCAGGAACGCTGCAACAGGATTTTTAGAAATATCTTTTTCCATAATTACTTTGTCCAGATCACCTTAAATTACAACTCCGACAATAAATCAAAACAAGCCCAAAGAATTCAGTGTCATCAAATACGGAGTTTTGTAGGGCCACACTCTGCGAAACATTTGAATGTGTCCTTGAGCAGGGATTGACGGTAAAACACGGATTTAAGGTAAAACACAAATTTCAGCATCACTGATAAGAGAGTAACTCGGGACAAGGCATCTGCAGTTCTGAGAAACACTTCACACACGAAGTCTCAGCCCCGTGGAGGTGAAGAAGGGGCAGCACGGGGGGAGTTAGAAAGGAAAAAAAATAAGTTTGTTTACGTGGAAGTTATGATTTAACACTTCTGTGGTTTTGTTCAGTAATCTTAAGGTTTACAAAAATACAATCAAAAGGTGCTGCCTTCTGAACACTTTATCAATCCCAAGCTTCCCCCTTTGCAGCTCAGTCAATTTGTCTGTTTTTCATTTGAAATGTCAGGGCTTTCCCCGTGAAGCTGGAACAGCCCAGACCATCCATCAGGTCCCAGACTGTCCAGGGACCGGTCTGTGCCCCCGAGGGGAAATCCACAATCCACAGCCACAGGTTTCTATTAGAGAAACAGATGCTCACTGGAAAAAAGCTCCTGTTCTGTGACTGTGTGGATGCAGAAGGAATTTTTTGTGTGTTGCAAGACCACAAACACCCACTCGACTCTAATTAGAACTGCACCCAAGTGTCTGATGTTCTGCTACCTACACCTCGCCAGGAAAAGCTGCTGTG